GAACATAAAGAACAATGCACAATATAATTTATTGCCATATCAGTGCAAATGCACATAAAATACGTACGCATTGGCATAATAAATCATGTTTGTTTCGAAATAATCATCTGTATTCACATTTATTATGTTGATAACAACAATGTTGATATTTGTAAATAAAACTGTAGCCTATTTCCTGCACCTGTCATAGTCGTCCAAATAACGTCAAAAAAATTACGTTCAAATGTTGAATGTCATATTGACGTGCAAGTTGGGTCATGGATGGACGTTCAAATTGTGGACCTAGTTTGGACGTTGTATTGATGTCCAGAATTGGTCATGGACTGACGGACCTAATATAGACATGATCTGCACGCCTATCCGACGTCCAATGTTTAGTGGGAAGCATTCATACACATTAATCAATTCTGTTGCTTTTGATACTTTTAAAAATATACACCACAATATAAGCTCAGCAAAATTTGTGAAAACAAAGGCAGAGACTAAAACATATTAAACTGAATGTTTTGCATGAAAAGCTATCTGAACTTATTGTGACACATTTACTGATTTATATAATTAATATCCATCTTAAAGGAAATGTGTACATGAAATGAAGCAAATCTTCGAACAAAAAATGAATAATTTTCCCCCTGTAGCTCATGATCCGACAAGCGGAACAAACATCTGGATCATGAATGGCTTGATTGACACTGGGCACAAATACACACACAGCTCCCAGTTACTAACTCTGTTCAGTTTCTCCTTAAAAGGGAGAATGTTGTGCAAGGAATGTTGGCCAGCTCTCATTCCCTCGCTTTTTTTCTGTAATATGCATGAATGGCCTTAGCACACTTTCTCCCATTTTGGCCAAGGGTGTTGTATGCCTTATGGTATAAAGTCAAGAATCTATATGAATGGCTGCTTATACATGCCGGCGATCCTACTCAAGGTGCTCCTTTAAATCAGATTCTTGGCAGGCAAACTCAATACAACCTTGTTCTGTACTCAAATCTAAGAACGAGTCTGCAGACTAAATGTCAAGCTCATAATTTTAACTACAGCGATTGATTTAACTAATTCACTCCTATGATTTATTTTCACCAAAAATTTTTAAGTTCTAATCTAAAATCAAGTTATACAGGAGGTAAGTTATCAAAAGATTTTAGTTTCATTGGCTTCTGTGGTCCTTTTTTTTCCTGGTCCCTCTTTGTAGTTTCAGAAAATTAAAAGACTGTGTGGATTAATATCAGTACTGTTGGTGACTGGCAGGAGGCAGCAGCACTGCTGAGGCGCGGGTGTACAGGGAGACCCGGGGGAGGAACAACAATGAGCCCCACATCAAGCGGCCCATGAACGCCTTCATGGTCTGGGCGAAGGACGAGAGGAGGAAGATCCTCCAGGCCTTTCCGGACATGCACAACTCCAACATCAGCAAAATCCTCGGTAAGATGGCCTTTCCTACGCCCATCAGCAGGATGCCAACATGGCCTCAGAATTTCCTAAGAGCAGCCGTGTGGGCAGGGTTTGATGCTAATGATGCCCTGTCTCTCTGTTACCTCTTAGTCTCCTTTTATGGCGTGTAGAACAGCTGACCCGTTCACACACAAAAGTCTAGCTAGGTGGTGAGATGAGAGCCACAGTCTTTTTTTGAGGTTTGTATAAGGCTAGCATGGACAGACAGAAAGGCTAGTAAAGCCAAGATGGTGATGAGGAGCTATGGTGACGGTGATGAGGAGCTATGGTGACGGTGATGAGGAGCTATGGTGACGGTGATGAGGAGCTATGGTGACGGTGATGAGGAGCTATGGTGACGGTGATGAGGAGCTATGGTGACGGTGATGACACCCAGGTTTTCCTGCAGCTATGGAGAGCTGTGACAATCATGGAATTCATTGCAGAAACACTTTCAGCCATTCTGAAGTCTGAAAATATAGTAAATATGATCTAAGTTAAAACAAAACAGTATTAATGCTGAAAGAAGAACTTACAATAAAATCTATCATATATTTATATATTTTGTAAACATTAGCTCATGTTATTATTATTATTATTATTATTATAGTTTTATGCTTTTTATAACAATATTTTTATGCATAACATACATCGACATTTAAATGATACAGTATAATATTTTACTTAAGTAAAAGTGAAATCTTGTTTTAGCCAGGGGTGGAGACTAAACTGCAAGCAAGTCAAATAAAATCTAATATATACTTAAAAAAAAAACTCACAAAGAATGTTATTAAATGCCATTTTGCACATAAAAACTAACAGAGAATGTGGTGCATTAATGCATTAAATGTTAATCATATCAATTGCATATCTGCATTCAAGCAAATGTATCAGTTTGTCGTCTGACTTACTTTAAATCGTATTCTTTTTTTTCTGACTTGGATTTTTGTGTATTCTGTGTGTGTGAACGGATGCTAAGACTTTGCTTTGCCGATGCATGAATATAGTATATTACTTCAGGCAGACTCAGTCACACTCTGATGGATTTACTTCCCATTCTCTGAGTATTATTTATTATGCAGCATTACACAGATTACTCACAGGATTACTATCCAGCTTTAGGCATAATAGTCAGCAGATTCCCACTAAAAGTCAGCAGATTCTGTGAAGAACATGGTAGTATTTCAAATTCTAAATTAATATGCCCATATTTTGAGTTAATACAGCAGAAGGCTAACTTTTGGAGTGTAAATAGCAGCTATTTAAATAACTCTGTTTTACAGCATAACAGGATTTTTAACCAGTTATAATTTAACTACAATAATGCATCTGTCTATCTTCCAGCCACTCTTTCTGGTTAGGGGTAAGTGCTTGGAAGATGGATGTGTGTATGTATGTACAATAATATCCTAGCCCAGATTAAAATGAGACAGATTTAACAATGTTAAGCTTACCCCCCCCCCCCCCAAGATATTCATTCCCATTTCACTACAGCAATATAATACATTTGTAATAAATAAACAAACAAACAAACAAATAGATAGATAAAATTATAATTATTGTTGTATCTTTTTTTTTACATGACTTCTGTGTCATTTTTTTTTTATTCAACTGTTATTCCTTGACAAAGAGGGAGCAATTGATTGAGACTGTTAACATGTTTGTGAAAAATCAGGGCAGCCATCTGCATGAGCCCTGTCTGCACGCTCTCCTTACAGGCTCACGCTGGAAGTCCATGACCAACCAGGAGAAGCAGCCATACTATGAGGAGCAGGCGCGGCTCAGCAAGATCCACCTGGAGAAGTATCCCAACTACAAGTACAAACCACGGCCCAAGCGCACCTGCATCATCGACGGCAAGAAGCTGCGCATCGGAGAGTACAAGCAGCTGATGCGCTCGCGGAGGCAGGAGATGAGGCAGTTCTTCACTGTGGGGTACGTGCACAGTGAAGAACGGCAGCATGATAGCGCAGCTAGCCGCCAAACCCCTCC